ACAGTTGAAGTGTACCTCTGGTGCAAATTACTGACCTCTGTCATCATTTTAAGTGGGGGAACTTGCACAATCGGTGGCTGACTAAATACTTTTTACTCCACTGTATATGGAATTTTGTGTTCAATTTGGAGATGATACTAGGGCTCATTATAAATACGCTGGAAGCTGGGTTTGGAGAACACCACCTTAAAGTTGCTTTATGGCATGGGCCATATCCAGATCAGTGAAATAGGGTAAGCTTAGAGCAGACATCAACTGACAAGAATCAGAATCGCATTTATTGGCAAAGTATCTGCACAAACACATACAAGGAATTTGGTTCCGGTCGATGGTGTCTTTCAAGCACAACAATGTAAAAGCACACAATATGTGAGCAACACAATGAACAATATACATAAACCACAATATAAAAACATCTAAATCCTTATATACAAAAACTACAGGATTACAAAAATGAATACCACAGAATGTACATAAGGTGCAGTTGCAGTATGGCAGTGTGAAGCAATGTGACAGTTCAACTATTTAGGAGGGAAATAGCAAGGGGAAAGAAACTGTTCCTGTGTCGGGTGGTTCTGGTCTGCAGGCCTCTATACCGTCTGCCAGAAGGCAGCAGGTCAAAAACTCTGTGTCCAGGGTGTGAGGGCTCTGTAAAGACCACTGTAGAAGGGTCCATGCTCACTGGTCCTGTTAATCAGATACCTGGTTGGCACCTGATCGTTAGCACCTGGGGTACCAGAAATTCAAAACAAAGAGTCAGTAGCAGAATAAGTTATTTGGCAATGTCAAAAAAGAGATGGCAAGTTTTCATGGGCGCAATCCACATACTCAATTCCGCTGCTCAAACCACAAATGTATTTTTCTCACAAATGTGGTGAAAAGAGGTTTTCCAGTGTTACAAGATTTATTGAATAAAGAAATTTGTTTGTGGTCAATTCTTTGCTGTAATATTGTTTCTTAGCAATAAGTTATTTATTCCCATGTATTCTTTCTGCAGGGCTCAGCTGCTCTCCACCTCTCTAGCCCTCAGGACAACCTCTTACTTGTCAAAGGAAACAGAGTACATGCCCTGGCAATCTGCTCTCAATAATCTGGACTATTATTACCTCATGTTAGACCGTACAGATGTCTATCAGCCCATGCAGGTGAATACTTTCCAAAGTTTAGCTTTTTAAGAAAGGTTCCTTTACTCTCTATGACTGTTTACCCAACTGTGACTTTAGACCCATTTGGAGGAAAACATTTTCTGCAGATAAACTCTCCTTAACTCTTGATTTTTAGGACTACATAAGAAAGCAGGTGACTCCACTATTCCTATACTTCAAGAACATGACCTTAGACTGGAGCAGTGTTCCTGTACAACACACCGATCAGTAAGTATACTCACCAGGATACATAGTCCACCTATAAACGCAAACAAAATATAAAGATGAGTAGATGAGTATAGGTTACAAGACATCAGAGAAACAGCAGCTTATATAGATATAGAAAAATAAATAAATAAAGAGTTGAACCACAATCCAAATGGGTTATTATAGTCTAAAAATCACTTTCCCATCTTATTCCTACAAAATAATCAGCAATCCACAAATGACATATATTGACATATATTCCACCTTGTAATCAGTGTGTCAAAACAAAAAAGAGATCTGATTTAGCAGTTGGCTTGAGTGCTGGATAGTAGTTTCATTTATTTTTTGTACTTAAGTTTTGCTAACCACAATTTCCATTAGTTTTAGATTTCTCCTAGACTGCATTGTAGTGTTAGTCTAGTTCTTACTCTAGTATAGTAATGTATCACAGATCAATCTTGGTCCTTGTTCCAAGAACAAAGTACTTTTATTTATAAATGCATGGCCGCATGAATAAATTAAAAAAATTCTAAACATGTACTGAGAAAGTGGGTACGGAAAGTATTCAGACCCCTTTAAATTTTTCACTCTTTGTTATAATGCAGTCATTTGCTAAAAGTTCATTTTTTCCTCATTAATGTACATACAGCACCCCATATTGACAGAAAAACATAGAATTGAAAAACTGAAATATTATATGGTCCTAAGTATTTTAGAATTTTGAAGTTACCTGGATGAGCCTGCTTTGTAGTGCAAACCTCAGCTGGGGTAAACAGCAGACTGACAGCCTACATTCACTACAAATGAACGGCACCCAGAAATAGTTGTCCTTCAGTGGCCACTGTAGGTGAACTGTGGAATGAGAGCGGTAAGAAAACAGAACTCAGTTGACTGCAATCTACAGTCTACTGACATCTAGCAGTTGTATTTTATACACTTTAATGTAGAACTTTCCAGTTCTGTTATGACTCGTCTGCCTCAGTTTGAGCATCACTCTTGTGGCAAAACTCTTAGCGCTCTGGTCCTTTTGTAAAACAAATATATATATTATATGGTATAGAAATCGGTTAGACAGTAAAAAATGCTTGTATGAATGTGTGTGAATAGGTGATTGAGACATGTTGTATAAAGTGCTTTGAGTGCTCAAGTAAAGTGAAAAAGTGCTATATAAGAACAATTTCATGAAATTATTATTTTTTTTATCTAGCCTTTCTTTATATTAGCAAAAAGCTAGTAATTTGCTAAGATTTCAGTGCTTTTTCAAAGTCTTCATTCCTTATTTAGTGCTGTTCAAAGAAAATTGAACAGCACTACAAATTTGTACAGTGGATACAAATTTTGGTGACCATACAGGCAATGTACAATGAATGAAACACGTGAAACTACTTATGAGATAAATAATCTATATGAAAATCAAAAGAATTGACACTTTTGACAGTGGTTATGCTAAGTTTTGTGTAGATTGGCTTACCCATTAAGGAGGTGATGGGCTATATACACTACTTTACACCAGTCCAATGTGTCTCTGAAACTGACTCTAGTTTTATGAAGACAAAGAGAAAACAAAGAAAAATTCACTTAAGTTAATAAGAAGAACCTGGGAATATAAAATAGTTATTAGTCTATACGTCATGGCTGAGCGGCCAATGAGTTTTAGAAGCGGTCCCAAAAGCAGACACGGAGGAGAGGAAACTAAGTGTAACAAAAAGCAGTTTATTTGGCTAACAAACATCAGCACAAAGTAAGGTGAACAGGGGCCGAGAATTAAAACCTAAACTGGGAGAAACTAAAACATGAAAACTGTGACATGAGCGTGGCCTGAACAAAAACATGAGATAAACAGGACATGAACCTGAACAGGAGCTTGAGGGAAAAACCTGAGACACGAAGAGCCGAAACTCACAGAAACATGTAGCCAGACAAACAAATAACCCAACACTGAACAGAGGAAGACAGAGGACTTAAATACACAGAAGGGTAATGAGAGGATGGGGAACCAGTGGGAACACAGCTGGGACAAATCAGACCTAACGAGACAAGGGGAAGCAAAATTAGACACACTGCACACAGGACAGGGATTATCACAATAAACAGGAAACAGCATGGAACGTAGACATGACAACACAAACTTACAAATAAAACATGGAACATGCAGACCACGCAGCTCACAGACCCAGCCCCTGACACTATCAACACCAGCAGTTGTTTCTGGGATTTTTTTTTACCTTTAACTAATTGTATCTAGTCTTAAATCAGTAAAGAGGAAGATGGAAGGACATAAAGGGAAACAGCCAAAAATTTCTACAAGACACACAATTTCACCAACTTTGATCTTAGTAGAAATACATTTTTCTGTGTGCCTACAATTAAAATGCTGATGCTCAGTGATGGGAATAACGGCGTTACAAGTAACAGCGTTACTAAGCAGTTTAAGCAGCTACGCGCTCCCACGAGTGGCAATCACTTTCTGCCCGACGATCACTTTTTGGCACAACACCTGGAGCTAAGGAGCAAAACAATCGCATGAGTGCTGCTGTTTGACTGAGGAAGAATAAAGTAGTCGTGGTAAGCCAATCACACGACCACTTCAAGACAAAGCAACAAGGTGATATATACCAGTTTATAAATTGTGTTGATAGGCAACGTAAAACCAGAGTCATGATAAACAATATATACGCAGCGTTTTTTTCCTCAATAGTTTCGCCACGTTTACTGTCTAAGGACAGCGCAGCGAGTACTCTCTGCTTATGAGCAACAAATAAAAAACAAAAACAAAAAAACTGCCCTTTCATTTTGGTGGGAAAATGCACCATGTCAACCAATCAAAAAATGATATGGCAACATGACATTTGGTTGTTTAGGAAGAGGGGGAAGTTTTAGGAGTGACGGAGAGAGAGGAAAGAAAGACAGCAGTAAAAGAGAGAGAGTGAGTTTTGAGATGTGAGAGATTTGTGACGTTTAGCGTGTTTGGAGTGTGTAGTTAATGTGTTGTCTTGTGTTGTGTGTCAGAACAATGAGGCGACTGCTGTCTCCAGGTAAAAAATAGGAGTGATACACCTGCTGCTGTCAGACCTGCAGGTATCAGGCTGTGATGTTCTCCTTTATAGTGGACAGAAATTATGTTTTTGGAGTGGCACAAATAATTTGTGGCATCTTATTGAATGCAGAACAGCTGATTGTTCTGTAAATAGTTTGAAATAGTTATTTTAAAAAAAGGGGTAAAAGGTAAATGGCTGCAAATAACTTTGTTGTTTGCAAAACTTTGTGGTTGTTACAGTAAAAATGTAACTTTCTACTTGGATTTTATGTTTTTTGTCTGACTTTAGATCAATTGTGTTAATACAGTATGTCAAAATGAAAACTTAACTGTAAATTCAAACACGTGAGGTTGTGCTTTAAAGGATGATACCAAACAAGGCAAAGTAAATAGTTTTTAAAGGTAAAATGTAGAGGAAACATCAAAAGTAGTTAAAAATGGCCAATTATACCCTGGACCCCAGAGGCTTAAAGATTTTTTTTTAAGTAACGCAATAGTTACTTTTCAAGTAATTAATTACTTTTAGAATCTTGTAACTCAGTTACTAACTCAGTTACTTTTTTGAAGAAGTAACAAGTAACTATAATTAATTACTTTTTCAAAGTAACTTGACCAACACTGCTGATGTTTCAGATATAACGATGCCTGTCTCTTCTTGCAGATATAACCAGGAGAATGCCATTCGTATGGCGTGCAGAAGTGGGGTACCAGAATGCAACAGCTTGACAACCACATGGTTCAAAAAATGGATGGAGGAACCTCAACAAAATATGTGGGTCAACTTTATAAACTACTTTTCAATCACTGCACTTTAATGAGATAGTTTTTTTTTTACATTATAGAAATTCTGGGCAACAAGGAAATTCATATATGGCATATTCCATAGAGCAGGGGTCTCGAACTCCAGTCCTCGAGGGCCGGTGTCTTGAAACTTTTCCATCTGTCCCTGTTGCAAAACATGTGAAAAAGAGCAGTAGGTCATTAGCAAGACTCTAGAGAACTTGACTGCATGCTGAAGTGGCAACCCCTAACCCTACTCAAGTCAATTTAAGTAAATGTAAACATTTGTTTGGGAAAATGTAGTTCTAAAGTTACTTTTATTGCACCATGTTCATTCACTCACGAGCTGCTGTAACATGAATCAAATGGCTGAATTGCCAGCTCAGCATACAGTCAAGTTCTACAGAGTCTTGCTAATGACCTAACAATTGTATTCACTTGTGTTGCAGCACGGACACATGGAAAAGTTTCAGGACAGGCCCCCTTGAGGACTGGAGTTCGAGACCCCTGCCATAGAGGTTATCAAGGCAAAAAGCACACATGGCCAGGACCTTTTCAAAAACACAATATTTATATGAGCCATCTTAAACATTTATTTTTAATCTAAATGAAAAGAATTAGCCTGTTAACTTGGTAATGATAATGACCTTTGTTTCCATGTGCACTGTTTCCACACAATGCACACATTCTTAGTATTAAGAGAAACTTTAAACGGTGCAGTAATGCCTGCAGCTGTTGGAAGGCAGCCCCAAGCTCTTTAACAGCCTGACTCACAGTAGAACTAACCAACTGCTGTCTTATTTACATTAAGGTGTAGTGTAACTGCCAGCATAGTATTTCCAATATTATTAATAAAAATAGAAAATAAAACAAAGCTTAAAATTGAATTTTGAACCTGAACTACCCAATTCCCATTACTCAAACCAATATCACCGAGTCTAAGAGCAGGTCATATTAAACTGAATCAAATTTCTTGGACATATCAACAAACAGCTGCACAGTACTGCTTCTTGTCCAAGGCAAAAATGAACTAAATGATATAAAGATCTTAATTAAATGTCCTATCTGCAATAGTGCCATTATACTTACCCATACACCTGTATTTCTAGCTGATGAAACCTATTACAGCCTGCAACAGTAAAGAACCTTGGATGTATTCACTTTAACAGCAAGCAATTCAGAGTGCTGTTGTGAATGGTGTGGGGGTAGGGATAGGCTTGGGACCCTCCCTTAGCCCTGCTGCGGAGGGTCTGTGCTGATGGACGTAGGTTACTGACCTGAACTGCTGCTGAACTGGGCCCTGGTCCTGATGGGCCTGGGTCCCCTTTCCCTGGCGGGTTGCGGAGTATGGGGGTGCCTACTGGGGTGGTTGCCGGTGGAGCTCACGGGCACATCACTGCAACCCCTCCTGGCTTCTGCTCCACGGCTGCTGAGTGACCCCTCATCTGGGGATTTGTAAATATTGTAGCTATCAATTACAATCACACAATTGGCATTAACTTTTTAAACTGCATCTCTGATAGAACCATGATATTATTATCAGTTGTGATAATGTAGATATTTATCATGTCAGTTTTAGGGACAAGACTTCTAACATTAAAATGTAAAAGGCAAAGACCTAATCTGTTTTTAAAATCTGCTGGTCTGAGAATGTTTTTTATTGGACCAGGGTTTGGTTGCATGTTCCCAGATAACAGCAGAGCAGCATAACAGACTTGAATCTATTAGTTTTATAATCAGCATCTCTGGCAGCTGAGTACAAAAGCTCTTTTTGCACTTTGAGGATGTCATTCAGAGCTTTCAGAGATTGTAAATATAGCAGAATCCTCTTGTGACTTGTGATTGTGTGATGTCAGTCTTTTTCTTTTGCATAGAATGAATTTCTCAATGAAGAATAAATGAATCACTGACAAATATTCAAAAACATAAAAAAGGAGACGGTAAATGCCCTCTTGCAATTGAGTTCAAATCATCCAAAGAGGCAAATATTAATGAACCAACAGATGTGAGTGGCCAGCTTTTCCTGAAAAGTCAGTCACTCTGCTACTTGTGGACAAAATTCAAGGAAGTAGGTTCAACAAACTCTGAGTTTAAAAATAAACCAAGTTACAGTGGGGCAAAAAAGTATTTAGTCAGCCACCGATTGTGCAAGTTCCCCCAC